CATCCACTCCCAGGTCTCTTTCTCGAATCGTTACAGGTAGGCTGTTCCCCTTCATTGTGTACTGTCCCTTTGGTCTCCTGTCACCTGATCCCATTTCCATAACTTTACATTTACTGGTGTTAAACTCCAGTAGCCATTTCCCTGACCATCTCTGCAGCCTGTTTAAGTCCTCTTGGAGGATCCTACAATCCTCGTCTGTCACAAATCTTCTCATTAATTTTGCGTCATCTGCAAACATTGACATGTATGATTCCACTCCTGTCAACATATCATTTACGTAAATTAGAAAGAGGATTGGTCCCAGCACCGATCCTTGAGGTACTCCACTTGTTACTGTTCGCCAGTCCGACTTTTCGCCCCTTACCATTACCCTCTGGCTCCTTCCTGTTAGGTAGTTCTTCACCCATACTAGGGCCTTTCCGCTTACTCCTGCCTGCCTCTCAAGTTTGTATAGGAGTCTCATGTGCGGTACCGTATCAAAGGCCTTTTGGCAGTCAAGAAATATGCAGTCTGCCCAGCCTTCTCTGTCCTGCCTTATCCTTGTTACTTTATCATAGAATTCTAAAAGGTTTGTTAGGCATGATTTCCCTGTCCAGAACCCATGTTGGTGCTTGTTTACAAACCCAATGCTCTCCAGGTGCTCAACAAGTCTTAGCCTAATTATTCTTTCAAGTATTTTGCAGGGGATGCTTGTCAGTGATACGGGTCTGTAGTTAAGTGCCTCCTCCCTATCACCTTTTTTGAAAATCGGTACGACATTTGCCTCCTTCCAGCAACTGGGCAATTCTCCCGACATAAGTGACTCATTAAAGATCATTGCCAGAGGCACGCTGAGAGCCTGCGCTGCCTCTTTAAGTATCCACGGTGATACTTTGTCTGGTCCAACAGCTTTATTTGCATCCAGTGTTGTCAACTGTTTCATTACATCCTCTGCTGTCACCTCTATATCTGATAGTCTTTCATCTTGGGTAATCTCTTCTAACAATGGGAGCTGCTCAGGCTCGGTTGTGAACACTCCATGGAATTTTGCATTCAGTACCTCGCAGATTTCCTTGTCGCTTTCTGTATATGCCCCTTCTGTTTTTCTCAGTCTTGTCACTTGGTCATTTACCGACATCTTCCTTCTTATATGGCTATGTAGTAATTTTGGTTGCTTTTTCGCTTTGACTGCAATATCATTCTCATAATTTCTTTCCGACACTCGTCTTATGTTAATGTAATCATTCCTAGCTCTGTTACATCTAATCCTGTTGTCCTCTGTCCTTTGTCTTCTGTACTTCCTCCACTCCCTCCTGCTTCTCACCTTTGCTTCCTGACACTGTCTATTAAACCATGGGTTATTATATTCCCTCCTGCTTTTTTCCTTTATTGTTGGAATAAATCTATCTTCAGCCTCCTTGCATTTCAATATGACTTGGTTCATCATACCTTGCACTGTTTTTCCTCTGAGTTCTTCCTCCCACTGCACTTCTCCCAGGTAGTCCCTTATCCTTCTGTAGTCCCCTTTTCTGTAATCAAGTCTCCTTTCCCGGACCTCTTGTCCTTTGGTCACAATTTTAAGCTCCATCATGTAGTCAAAGACTAGGACACAATGGTCACTAGCTCCTAGTGGTATTTCATGTTCCAACTGCTCGATGTCTTCTACATTCTGAGTGATAATGAGATCTAATAGGCTGGGCGTATCCCCTCCTCTTTCCCTAGTATCTTCTTTCACATGCTGTGTTAGGAAATTCCTGTCACTAACGTCTACCAGCTTCGCTCCCCAGGTCTCCTCCCCGCCATGGGGATTCCTCGTTTCCCAATCTATCTCTCCGTGATTTAGGTCCCCCATGACCAGCAGCTTCGCTCTCATTCTATGCGCTAAAGTTGCTGCCCTCTGCAGTTCATCCATACATGTCTTGTTGCTGTCCTCGTACTCCTGCCTGGGCCTTCTACTGTTTGGTGGGGGATTGTAGAGTATCAAGATTACAATCTTCTTCCCATCCACTGTCAGAGTTCCATGTATGAAGCTTGTGCTTTCATTGGTACCCGGATTTTCCAGCTCATCAAACTTCCATTTCCTCTTTATTAGTAGTGCCACTCCTCCTCCCTGTCTCTGTGTCCTTTCTTTTCTTATCACCTGGTACCCCTCTGGAAAGATTGCATCCGAGATCATGCCATTTATTTTAGTTTCCACTATTGCCACTATGTCTGGGTCTGCCTCACTAACTCTTTCTTTTATCTCTTCTGCTTTATTGGCTACCCCATCAGCATTGGTGTACCAAACCTTGAGACTCTTCTTGGAAACTCGGGTGTCAGAGTCCCCCCTTTCACCAGGGGTCTGGGGGGAACTGGGGGTGTCTGGGGGGCAAGTGGGGTCTGTGGGGGTGAGTGGGGGGGTGCTAGGGGGGTGCCTGGGAGTGCCTGGTAGGCGAATGGGGTCTGGGCATCTAGGGGGGTAGGAAAGGCATAATGGGTCTGAAAGTTAGGGGTCTGAATAGCATAGGGGGGTTGAGAAATAGAGTGAGACTGAGAGTCAGATAGAGGTTGAGAGGTTGGGGGGGGAGAGGGATACTGAGGGCGGAGAGCTGAGATGAGAATGGAGCATGGGTGCTGGGAGTGGAAGAGAGGGTATATTAGTTAGGGGGAATCGGGGGTAGGTGGGGGTTTTAGGGTAGAAGAGGGGAAGAGGGAGATGGGGGAAGGTGTTAGGGGGTCACAAGGTGAGGGGGTTAAATGTGGGCTGGAGGTGCATAGGAGGGGTGAGGGTTGGGTGGGGTTTGGGGGTGAGTGGAAGAGGGGTGCAGTGGAAGCTGGGAATTGAAGTCAATGGGGTAGAAGGGGCAGGGGAGTAGGAAGGGGTATTTGGGGAGGGGGGATGGGAAGGTGGGTTTGGGGAGGGCATGGCTTGACCCACTGGGGTCGCTGACAAGTGTGATGTAGCAGGGGCAGGGGAATCGTTGGGAGGTGCAAATGTGGAAGGGACAGGGGGGTTTTGGGAGGCTGAGGCAGGGGGGATGTATAGGAGGGCTGAGTTGGGGAGGATGCGACCTGGGAGGTGACCTGGAGGTGGCCTGGGAGGTGACCTGGGATGTGACCTGGGAGGTGAGACTACCTGAGAGGCTAGTTCGGTGTCGTTGTTGCCATCTATTCTTGTGGGCTATTTGCTCATCTTTCGTCATAAACCTCTCTATAAACACATTGTAATGGGTTTCACTTCCTCTGAGTAAATGCTTGGTCCTCATTATGTACTCCACAGCCTCCTCATTGGAGAATTGCACCAGAACAGGTCTATTCTTGGTACAATTGTAAGGTCCAGTGTGTGTGTGTGTGTGTGTGTGTGTGTGTGTGTGTGTGTGTGTGTGTGTGTGTGTGTGTGTGTGTGTGTGTGTGTGTGTGTGTGTGTGTGAATTAATATAAAACCCACATCAGAACCCCGTCATTACTGGCTCTGGGCTAATATAAGTTTTCAACTAAATGTGCTTGTAAAAAATATTAAAAGTTTATAACGAACTTCTAAAACACTTTTGTTAATTGACTTTTAAAACCAGCAGCATAGTCATGGAGAGTCAGGCACGCTACATGTACCTACAGGTACCAGGTACACCAGCATAGTCATGGAGAGTCAGGCACGCTACATGTACCTACAGGTACCAGGTACACCAGCATGGTCATGGAGAGTCAGGCACGCTACATGTACCTACAGGTACCGAGTACAATAGCATGGTACTCCAAGTACCGTCTGACAACGGCGTTACCACACTCTGACCTAAACATTCAGCTACATATGGACGCACACATATAAACACCTGACACTTGGGCTACATGTGAACGCACACATATAAACACATGACACTCGGGCTGTATGTGGACGCACATATATAAAAGGAACACAATTTACTCAGGAAACGCTTCAGAGAAACCTTCAATGTAGAACAAGTACATGGACGGATATTCTAGTAAAGATTGTAGAGAAAGTGGACTTGAAATGGAGCATTAATAACAAAGCAGTCTCCGTGGTGTAGTGGTAAGACACTCGCCTGGCGTTCCGCGAGCGCTATGTCATGGGTTCGTATCCTGGCCGGGGATGGATTTACTGGGCGCAAATCCTTAACTGTAGCCTCTGTTTAACGCAACAGTAAAATGTGTACTTGGATGAAAAAACGATTCTTCGCGGCAGGGGATCGTATTCCAGGGACCTGCCCGAAACGCTACGCGTACTAGTGGCTGTACAAGAATGTAACAACTCTTGTATATTTCTCAAAAAAAAAAAAAAAAAAAAAGGGAAGATAGACCATATCAACACTTTCGGCAGCCTCCTCCATGGGAAGAATCGAGTCTAAAGATAATCAGTGAAGGATTACCAGTTAAACAATCAGCATTGTGACTCGCAGAGGCTCAAAGCAGTCATAGAACGATAAATGGAAACCATTTTAAGACTTACAACGACTGTGGGGAAAACTCCAGGCAGCTATTCTCTTTTTTAAATTGACTTAAATTTAATAAGATAGAGTTTTGTCTTATTTATTTTCTTAGTAAGTAAGAATTAAATGAGTGGATTGTATGTACTTGATTAAACTGCTTGAAATTATCTCACACAGTTGGGGGACAATTTGTAGCTTAACCACTTTGTTAAACCACTTTTAACAAAGTGGTTAAGCTACGGTTAAGCCAATTTGTAGCTTAACCACTTTTGCTCATTCTTAAACCACAAATTGTTTACCTTATTAATATAATTATCATACCACATATGGTAGTCCACTTCATTATTATATCACACCACATATGGTGGTCTAATCTACTAGTAATAATTACTAATTATGAATACTAATACTACTATAACTAAAAAGGGCTTAGCTGATCCTGTAGAAGGGGCCTGCTAAGGCTGTGTAATGGTAGCATCAATATGGGTGTGGCCCTGTGCCTCTTTGTGCCACGTAATGGCGGCCGTGAAGACTACAAGCCCTGGCAAACAGCTAGGTACATTATGTGTAAAGTTCAACTGTCTGCTCAGCATCTTGCTATTCCAAATCACAATTTACCTGTATGGGATACAAGGAGTTAATAACAGTTCCCTAAATATATCATTACAGGTATGGCATGAAATAGGTGGGTGTTACATGGGGTACACGTACTTTTTGTTTTGGGTTCTTCCTACGACCTAACCATCTACCTAATGATATTAAACAGTGCACTGGATTAATATACAATACTTGGTAAGACGGATGCAGTCGTTGCTGTGGCTGTTGAGAGGCTGTGTTGCTGGTTGTTGACACGTAATTTGGGAGTCTAGGGAGTTAAACCAGCTTCTGGAGCTCTGTACAGCGTGGGGTTTGTTGTTGTTGATGTAGTGAGTGGAGTGAGTCTCTGTGGGACCAACGCCCCTGAGGGCATGGTTCCACTTCTAAAGTAATTTTACATTAACAAGGGAATCAAGCTACATTTTGGTGTTAGTAATTATATTCAGTCTTGTTGAGTACTTTTTTGTTAAATTTAGATACAAGACTGTTGTATAAACAGTATTAGAATAATGAAAATATACGTGTTGTCTCTGACGTCACAGGATCTCCCATTTTCTTTCCTGAAGGGAATACTGACTAAGGGGATACTATGTTATGTGAATGTCGGATTCCGACAACGACTCCCATCTTCACAGACGGATCAGTTGATCAAGAAAGAGGTTCTGCCGGGGCAGCAGTTTACACTAACAACCATGAAGCTTACTGGAGCATGAATAGTGGGTGTTCAACATTGCAGACAGAATTATATAATAATAATAATAATAATAATAATAATAATAATTTTGTACTGACAATAAGTCCTTAATGTCAGTACTGGAAGATGGAATATCATTAGCAAGGGATGAACCAATGGAAGAGAAGAACCTATTGAACTCAATAGCAGAATCAGAGGCTGAAAGCTGACCATCGTTATTAGACAGGAGAGTCGGTTTGCTATTTAAAGACTTTTTTGATCCCAATATTTGTGAAATTGTTCTCCATGTTTGTTTAATGTTGCTCTTTATTTGGGTAAATTTATCTTCGTAGTATTTAGTTTTGGCTCGTCTAATTATCTTAGATAGCAATAATGAGTAATTCTTTGAGAATTCTTTGGAGACAATCCCTAACCTATACTTTTTCTCAAGGTCATGTTTTTTATTAATAGATTTAAGTATTCCCTTTGTAAGCCAAGGATTGTTAAGCCTTTTGGTTGTGACTTGTTTTGTAAGCATAGGACAGTGGGTATTATAAAGGCTAAGAGTTATTTGAAGAAAAGATTGAACTGCTAGGTTGATGTCCTCTATGTTACCTAACTCGGACTCCCAGTTGACATTATCAGTAGCAGTTATAAAATTGTCTATAGCAGTTTCATTGTGTAGTCTAAAACGTATCTCTCTTGACTCAAGAGGTGGTTTGCTAATGTTAGTTAAGAGAAATGTGGGGTAATGGTCTGTAGTGCTATCGGTGATTATACCTGAAGTAAGCGGAGAGGTTATATTTGTCCAGATGTGATCAAGAGTCGTGGCAGTGCTATCAGTGATTCTAGTAGGTCTAGTGATTAAGGGTATGAGGAAGCAGGAATTCATACAGTTGAGGAAGCTAACAGCAGTAGGGTGTTCTGGCTCGCAGAGGTCAATATTAAAGTCCCCTGCAATAATTAGGTGGTTTTTGTTCAGTCTGTTATCAAGTATTAGATTTCTAAGGTTTGAGTTGAATTCGGACACATCAGTGTTAGGAATTCTATAAACTGCACCCACAGACAGGATAGACTCGGCACCCTTGACTCTGAAGCTGGCGAAGATATACTCCCCATAGCAGTCTCTAGTTCTAATTTCTTTTAAGCATGTTAGTTCTTGGTGGTAGTAAAGAGCAGTGCCACCACCTCTCTGAAGTTGACGACAGTTGTGGATTGCTGAGTAGTTAGGCATGTTAAAGAGTTGAGTAGTATCATCTTTCAACCATGTTTCAGTAAGTATAATAAAAGAGAAATTGTTGTCAATAGCTTCAATCAAGGCACTAACTCGTCACAGAAATCCACCATATAGGAAAAGAAAGCCCATAATCTAGGGCTGTCAATCACCCTAAATTGAATACCAAGTCACATTGGCATAGATGGTAATGAAAAGGCAGACTCACTAGCAAAAACTGCCACTGCTCTACCTATTGTTTAGGTTCAAATACCTCCAAGTTTTTTACAGATTAAGGAGCAAATCAAGAAGAAAATACACTCAACTATCAAAAGTCTCCACAGAGCCAAAGTAGCGGAAGGAAGATCCACTGCGATATGGTACGAACAAGTCACTCTTTCAAGCCTGACAAAAAGATATCCAGAGACATTGCAGTAGCCATACACAGACTCAGACTTGGTTACAAGTGCTGCTGGGAGGCAATAAACCCAATAGTTAAAGAGTGTCAGATCTGTGGAACAGAACAGAGGCGCCACTATTACACTACTTACTGAAATGTGAAGCTACTGAAGCCCTGCGCATCAAACTCAACATTAATCGACAACGACAGCAGCTACATTAGATGCACATTCTACAGCGACTACAATGATTAGAAAAGCCGTTGAGGAATGGGACTCACTAGCGAACATTCTGTACCTACATCCGCCACCAAGATAATGTTATTACAACACGACTAAAACAGAAGCGAAAAAGAAACGGAAAAAGGAGGAAACCCCACCTCCATTTAAAACATTGACCAAATATCAGAGTAATGAAGTTACCGCGAATAACCGAACTCAATTACGGGCTCACCATAGCCCGTGCTACATGGACATTTCGTTCTGAATAGCTAAATCTAAAACAACAACAACTCAGGAAATATTTATATTAAGCAGTACATCAAAAACAGGTTAAATTAATAAATATTAAACCTATTTCATTCCCACACATAAGAACCAGTTTGAATATTTGGATTTCTACATTGACTTTCTTGCTGGTGGCAATGAACCATCGTTCTGTTTATTAATGGTCGTTTTCGCTTTTGGTAATGTCTAATGGAGGATTTGTATGGTATTTATGGCTGAGGAAAGACTCGGTAATGAAGGAACCCTTGGCTTTGTCTTCTGAACCTTGGAGTCACAATTCCTGAACCTTGAAGTCACAGTTCCTGAACCTTGAAGTCACAGTTCCTGAACCTTGGAGTCATAATTCCTGAACCTTGGAGTCATAATTCCTGAACCTTGGAGTCACAATTCCTGAACCTTGAAGTCACAATTCCTGAACCTTGGAGTCACAATTCCTGAACCTTGAAGTCACAATTCCTGAACCTTGGAGTCACAATTCCTGAACCTTGAAGTCACAGTTCCTGAACCTTGAAGTCACAGTTCCTGAACCTTGAAGTCACAGTTCCTGAACCTTGGAGTCACAGTTCCTGAACCTTGAAGTCACAGTTCCTGAACCTTGGAGTCACAGTTCCTGAACCTTGGAGTCACAGTTCCTGAACCTTGGAGTCACAGTTCCTGAACCTTGGAGTCATAATTCCTGAACCTTGGAGTCATAATTCCTGAACCTTGGAGTCACAGTTCCTGAACCTTGGAGTCATAATTCCTGAACCTTGGAGTCACAGTTCCTGAACCTTGAAGTCACAGTTCCTGAACCTTGAAGTCACAGTTCCTGAACCTTGAAGTCACAGTTCCTGAACCTTGGAGTCACAGTTCCTGAACCTTGGAGTCACAGTTCCTGAACCTTGGAGTCAGAGTTGACTACGACTCGTATATTTTTCTGTTATCATGTGTTGAGCAGATGTTCATGGCGTCATTTTGGAGGATAGGCTTCCTCTTGCTTTATAATTCGTCACTTTCATCACTGGTGCGTCTTAAGAAGGAAGGAAGTTACATCTTTTTTACTTGTGAAGTAAACTGTGTTGTAAGTTTATCTTCATCTTGTCTGGTGTGTCAGTCTCCAAGATCACTCTACACCTGCTTTACTGTCACCTGTGTCAACACACAGGTCACCTGTGTCAACACACAGGTCACCTGTGTCAACACACAGGAGATGGCTTCTACCTCTGCTTCTGCCTCTAAAACCTCTAATTCAACCTCTGCTTCTACCTCCACTAACTCTGTTTCTGCTTTCACTACCTCTGCTTCTATCTCCACTACCTCTGCTTCTTCCTCCACTACCTCTGCTTCTATCTCCAACACCTCTGCTTCTATCTCCACTACCTCTGCTTCTACCTCCACTACCTCTGCTTCTATCTCCACTACCTCTGCTTCTATCTCCAACACCTCTGCTTCTATCTCCACTACCTCTGCTTCTATCTCCACTACCTCTGCTTCTACCTCCACTACCTCTGCTTCTACCTCCACTACCTCTGCTTCTATCTCCAACACCTCTGCTTCTATCTCCACTACCTCTGCTTCTATCTCCACTACCTCTGCTTCTACCTCCACTACCTCTGTTTCTATCTCCAACACCTCTGCTTCTATCTCCACTACCTCTGCTTCTACCTCCACTACCTCTGCTTCTATCTCCACTACCTCTGCTTCTATCTCCACTACCTCTGCTTCTACCTCCACTACCTCTGCTTCTATCTCCACTACCTCTGCTTCTATCTCCACTACCTCTGCTTCTACCTCCACTACCTCTGCTTCTATCTCCAACACCTCTGCTTCTATCTCCACTACCTCTGCTTCTATCTCCACTACCTCTGCTTCTACCTCCACTACCTCTGTTTCTATCTCCAACACCTCTGCTTCTATCTCCACTACCTCTGCTTCTACCTCCACTACCTCTGCTTCTATCTCCACTACCTCTGCTTCTATCTCCAACACCTCTGCTTCTACCTCCACTACCTCTGCTTCTATCTCCAACACCTCTGCTTCTATCTCCACTACCTCTGCTTCTACCTCCACTACCTCTGCTTCTATCTCCACTACCTCTGCTTCTATCTCCACTACCTCTGCTTCTACCTCCACTACCTCTGCTTCTACCTCCACTACCTCTGCTTCTATCTCCACTACCTCTGCTTCTACCTCCACTACCTCTGCTTCTATCTCCACTACCTCTGCTTCTATCTCCACCACCTCTGCTTCTACCTCCACTAACTCTGTTTCTGCTTTCACTACCTCTGCTTCTATCTCCACTACCTCTGCTTCTTCCTCCACTACCTCTGCTTCTATCTCCACTACCTCTGCTTCTATCTCCACTACCTCTGCTTCTACCTCCACTACCTCTGCTTCTACCTCCACTACCTCTGCTTCTATCTCCACTACCTCTGCTTCTACCTCCACTACCTCTGCTTCTATCTCCACTACCTCTGCTTCTACCTCCACTACCTCTGCTTCTATCTACACCACCTCTGCTTCTACAAAAAAGCAAAAGCTAAGTATATTGTATTTGGCTAGATAAGAGTAAAGCTGCTTGTAGATTAATTTTTCAAATATTTTTGACAAGTTTGGCAGAATTGATATAGGTCTGAAGTTGTTGACATCAGTGGGATCACCACATTTATGGACTGGGGTTACTCTCGCTTTTTTTAGAGTATCTGGAAAGGTTTGGAGTTCAAGTGACTTGTTGTATAGCAGTGCTATGGCAGGAGCAAAAAATCTGGAGGCTTTTTTGTAAATTAGAGTTGGTATCTGAGCAAGGGTACTAGACTTTGTTTTAAGGGAAAAGATTATCTCGTTAACATCAGTGGAATTAGCAGGCGTAAGGTACAGATACTGTGGATAGTTACCTGTAAGGTAGTCCTGAACATTAGTAATGGAGCCTCGTAGCCTGGTGGATAGCGCGCAGGACTCGTAATTCTGTGGCGCCGGTTCGATTCCCGCACGAGGCAGAAACAAATGGGCAAAGTTTCTTTCACCCTGAATGCCCCTGTTACCTAGCAGTAAATAGGTACCTGGGAGTTAGTCAGCTGTCACGGGCTGCTTCCTGGGGGTGGAGGCCTGGTCGAGGACCGGGCCGCGGGGACACTAAAGCCCCGAAATCATCTCAAGATAACCTCAAGATGGAGGATGGAATATCATTAGCAAGGGATGACCCAATGGATGAGAAGAACCTATTGAATTCAATAGCAGTATCAGAGGCTGAAAGCACACCATCGTTGTTGACCAGACCACACACTAGAAATTGAAGGGACGACGACGTTTCGGTCCGTCCTGGACCATTCTCAAGTCGATTCCAGGACGGACCGAAACGTCGTCGTCCCTTCAATTTCTAGTGTGTGGTCTGGTCAACATACTTCAGCCACGTTATTGTGACTCATCGCCTGCACACCATCGTTATTGGATAGGAGTGTTGGTTTTTTATTTAAAATCTTTTTTGATCCCAATATTTGTGAAATAGGGCTCCATGTTTTCTTAAGGCTGCCCTTTATTTGGGTAAATTTATTTTCGTAGTATTTAATTTTGGTTTTCCTAATTATTTTAGATAACACTGGTGAGTAATTCTTTAAAAATTGTTTGGAGACGATTCCTAACCTATACTTCTTCTCAAGGTCATGTTTTTTATTAATAGATTTAAGTATCCCCTTTGTAAGCCAAGGATTGTTTAACCTTTTAGTTGTGACTTGTTTGGTTAGAATAGGACAGTGGGTGTTATAAAGGCCGAGAGTTTTCTGAAGAAATGATTGCACTGCTAGGTTGATGTCTCTTATGTTAACCTAATTCGGATTCCCAGTTGATATTAGCAGCAGCAGCTATAAAATTGCCTATAGAAGTTTCATTGTGCAGCCTAAAGCTTATCTTCCTTGTATCTAGAGGTGGTTTGTGAATGTTGGTTAGGAGAAATGTGGAGGTAATGGTCTGTGGTTCTATCAACGATTATCCCTGAAGTAAGCAGAGAGGTTATGTTAGTCCAGATGTGATCAAGAGCCATGGCAGTACTATCCGTGATTCTAGTAGGTCTAGTGATTAAGGGTATGAGGAAGCAGGAATTCATACAGTTGAGGAAACTAGCAGCAGGAAGGTTATCAGGTTTGTAGAGGTCAATGTTAAAGTCCCCAGAAATAATTAAATGGTTGTTGTTCAGTCTGTTCTCTAATATTAGATTTCTAAGGTTAAGAGTTGAATTTTGACACATCCGTGTTAGGAATTCTGTAGACTGTTCCCACAGTCAGGATAGCCTTGCCACCCTTGACTCTGAAGCAGACAAAGATATATTCTCCACGGGGGTCTCTAATGTTTATTCAGGTAAGGTACATACATACAAGAGATTTTTACAAAAATTGATAGGTTTATAGATAGAGCTAGTACATACAATGCCTAAAGCCACTATTACGCAAAGCGTTTCGGGCAGGAAAAACATTAAAGACTAAAACTTAATACTAATAGAGTTTAAAGTATAAAATGTGTTGAGAACAAATAAAAATAAGAAAGGAGGGAACATGGCCGAAAAAGCAGCACAAATATAATTAGGTCGACAAACAGCGGTATTTAAAAAAAACAGACATGGGTTGACAATACAAGGGTAAGGTAGGTTACAGGGAATTTATTAGGTAGTGCTTAGTTTTTATCTTAAATTGGTTGAGAGAGGTACAGTCTTTAACATAGTTGGGAAGGTCATTCCAAATTCTGGGTCCCTTGAATCGTAGAGCATTTCTAGTTTGATTAAGTCGTACTCTTGGAATATCAAAACTGTATTTATTTCTGGTGTGGTGCTCATGGGTTCTGTTACAACCTTCAATGAAGCTTTTGAGGTCAGGATTGGCATTACAGTTCAGCATTTTATATGTCGGAAAATCCGACACCATTTAATATATCATACAGATAATAGCTGCTGTATTACCAACAAGTTACCCATAGAAAACGTAACTTGTAGTGGAATTACCGTCTAAAGAAAACGGGATATCATCACCACATACTATTATAATTCACCACCTATTATGGTGGGAATTATTCTTAAATACATTAGTCTTTGGACTTTACCATCATAAAAACATCTTATATAAATTAACTTAATTATCAATATTAAAGTAGAGTAAATGTGACCCTTCTATCACTTTCTGAAATCTGGACAAAGTAGGCCAGGCGAGAGTGAGGAGGAGGCAGCCATTGTTGTGTCACCTCCGAGACGTGTGGAGCAAACGGCTCCTATCATTCTGGACAATGTCGGCCAGTAACGTCAATAGTATGGAGTGTTAAACAGCCATTGTTTATATTGAGACCAGAGGCTCACACGGGAGCAAATTCGGCTCCTGTTAATTTTACTTGGACGTAGTGTTATGGAAACCAAAGGTACCATCTCCAACACGATGTCTACAATTCAAGTTAAGTCTATCCGAAACCCGTTTATCATTCATTTATGGCCATTAATGTCAGGATATAGGGTGACCCGGTTAGATCGCGAAATCGCCTCATACTAAAGGTAATTAAGCCAGGTCTGCAATGTTCCATGTACTGTATAGTGTTTTCTCTGATATACTTGTCATATATAGGATTCTGGCTTCACAGCTAGCGCACTTTTGACAGGTCAAGACGAGGATGCAAGATTTTGTGCACCAGTTACTGGGTGATATGGAAGCTACCTCAAAGAGGATAATTTGGTGTCTACACCCTAGTTATACCTGGTGGACTAACCTGCTGTACTATAAGATAAGGAACCTCATCAATGTATGTAGCTATTACTGTAGTTTGATTGGCTGCATATATATTAATTTAATAAACCCCCCCTAATGTGTAGAGGATCGATTTGTGAGATTGAGATTATTGCAGAAATACAGTCCACTTAACATTATACAAATTGCTATCGAAGTATATAAATTAACGTAAATATAAATTCATATAAATTAAATAAATATAAATCTCACAGGTCGGTTCCCACATTATTTGGTCCTTCGAACCGGATCGGACCGGAATATTCGGTCCTATGAACCCACATTTGGTCATCTTAGTACCGGATGAACCAGTTAACCAGTGGATTCATTAAATATACTAGTGCAGTGTTATTTAAACAAAGCCAGCAGTCAAGACGGCAGCGTAGCCTCGAGGGAGCTCAGGAGCCTCCCTCAGCCCAGTTCAGCTTCGTCAGCGGTTTCATGCACACCCACAGATATTTGGTGGCGTGTTATTTCGTGAAATGACAGCGCTAATATAGAATCCAGCCAAATTAGTGACTGTGTCTTCGCGAGATTGTTCACGGATTTCGTGGTGTTACATTTCGCGAGAGATTATCTACGAATTTTGTGGACTTTATTTCGCGAGGTCACTAATAATATTTAATACTTCTAGATAATATTAGAAGTTTCATAGAGGCTAATTAAGAGGCTATTATCAATAATTGTGTATATTATTTCTCCAAAATAGAGAATTATTTAATATATATTGCACTAGTGATCACAGTATAATATTTACTAATTGCCAACCCACAACAGGGTAGGATATGACTAGTTGAACTATTATTGTTCATCCTAGTCCCATTATTACAATAGTCAGTTGTACTATATTGAACAACCTAACACCATTAATGAATGGTCCAGACCCTATTTTGGGTGTAATTTTTATCAACTCGAGTTGAGTTGTATATATAATAAATTACTTATGATCATTACACCTTTGAGTGATTAATTAGTGTCTCTACCATCCTAGGGTGATATAGAAGAGCTAACCTAAAGGTACTTCCAGTGACACTGGTTTATCACTCAAATCATTAGTGTGTATGATTGTATATATATAATGTGTATTAATTTTAAGTGCTAACCTCTAGTAGAGGTAGGATTATTGCCTAGTGAGTGCAGAATTTACCCTAGGCTACCATTAGAGCTTGTTCAGTATTATGAGCAGCCCAAGTACAAGTCCCACAAGGCTTCACCAACTAGCCAGTATGGATAATGCAGGGAGAATGAAAAGAACCCTTGCAGGTCTTAAAGGCCACTTAACAAGACAGATCAAGAAATGTGAAGATTTGTCACAACAATCTCAAGTTGATTATGCTGACCTGGAAAGCTATTATCAAGCAGCTGCAGGTAAATTTGAGCAAATCAAATGCCAAATGGCTGTCCTTGTGGGGACAGACTACTACCATCAATTCATTGGTAGCCCTACTAAATATCAGGGTATAACCATGTTAAACTCTGCAGGAGGTAAATTACTCTCAGGCCCAGTATCAAGCCTGAGGAGACCTATGCCTGCAGATAAACAATACCAATAGAAATCTAAATTTGTCAGCTGATTATATTTCTCCAGTAGCATTATACTAAGGAGATTACAGCTGACTATAGTAACAGAGGTTGATGTTAGTATCATCATTTAAAGCTGAAGATGAGTTCATGAGGCCTCAGTGGCAAATCAGTGAACAGTAGCCTAAAACAGCTACAAGTCACTGCGACCAATGTCACTGAACCCACTGCAGTCTCAGAACCATACTTTACTTTAATGATGAGCTATTCAATCTTCTGAATCAATTAACTAAATTAAACCCCAATAAATCTGATGACTGATTTGATACATTTATTATTTAATCAAGATGTATTCCATGGGCCTCAGTGTTTATATATCAGTGACCAGTTACCTGAAGAAACTTCAAGTTATATCTAATGTCACTGATCTCACTGCAGTCCCTGAATCATACTTGACTGTAGTACTTGATCACATTCAGTCTTCTGGGTTAAATAATATGTAATAAGGCTTGAATATTAGCCTTTCAAGAGTTGACAGGGAAATGAAATCGCATTAGACTTCTAACCCCTGCAACTCTAGTACGGGACATCCGTCCTGTACGAACAGACACACAAATGTGTGATTACTAACTACTAACATCAAATTAATCTAATAATTCGAAGGAGGAGTATCGGTGTTCGTCTGTTCTAAATAGGACTTCGACCCGTGAGCAGCCCCCTGGGGAATTATGTCGGAAAATCCGACACCATTTAATAATAATATCATACAGATAATAGCTGCTGTATTACCAACAAGTTAACCATAGAAAACGTAACTTGTAGTGGAATTACCGTCTATAGAAAACGGGATATCATCACCACATACTATTATAATTCACCAGCTATTCTGCTGGGAATTATTCTTAAATACATTAGTCTTTGGACTTTACCATCATAAAAACATCTTATATAAATTAACTTAATTATCAATATTAAAGTAGAGTAAGTGTGACCCTTCTATCACGTTCTGAAATCTGGACAATGTAAGCCAGGCGTCAGAGTGAGGAAGGAGGCAGCCATTGTTGTGTCACCTCCGAGACGTGTGGAGCAAATTCGGCTCCTATCATTCTGGACAATGTCGGCCAGTAACGTCAATAGAATGGAGTGTTAAACAGCCATTGTTTATATTGAGACCAGAGGCTCACACGGGAGCAAATACGGCTCCTGTTAATTTTACTTGGACGTAGTGTTATGGAAACCAAAGGTACCATCTCCAACACGATGTCTACAATTCAAGTTAAGTCTATCCGAAACCCGTTTATCATTCATTTATGGCCATTAATGTCAGGATATAGGGTGACCCGGTTAGATCGCGAAATCGCCTCAAACTAAAGGTAATTAAGCCAGGTCTGCAATGTTCCATGTACCATATAGTGTTTTCTCTGATATACTTGTCATATATAGGATTCTGGCTTCACAGCTAGCGCACTTTTGACAGGTCAAGACGAGGATGCAAGATTTTGTGCACCAGTTACTGGGTGATATGGAAGCTACCTCAAAGAGGATAATTTGGTGTCTACACCCTAGTTATACCTGGTGGACTAACCTGCTGTACTATAAGATAAGGAACCTCATCAATGTATGTAGCTATTACTGTAGTTTGATTGGCTGCATATATATTAATTTAATAAACCCCCCCTAATGTGTAGAGGATCGATTTGTGAGATTATGAGATTATTGCAGAAATACAGTCCACTTAACATTATACAAATTGCTATCGAAGTATATAAATTAACGTAAATATAAATTCATATAAATTAAATAAATATAAATCTCACAGGTCGGTTCCCACAAGAGGTTTAGTTCTGGGTTTATTCTGGTTTGCATAAGAGGGATGTTTGACGGAGAAAAGGCAAAAAAGACAATTATAAAATAGATCTAGATATAATAAAAATATACAAAACTATACACAAAATGAGGTAGGTTGCTTTAAGGTACTTTCAGATACACTTAAAGCAAAAATATTGCACTAGGGGACACAGGCAAAGCCAAAAGAACAATGGAGCAAGGGTGGAGAGGCTAGGCAACCTGGGTTACAGAGAAGAAAGTTGAATAAAAATTCTATAGTAATATAAACTTAATGATAATTTCTAACAAAAAAAAAGCTTAGTTGAGATCCTAAAAAAAATGTATGAACTTAAGAAAAAGAAAAATGAACTAGAATAATTAATTCTAATAGATGACCAATACAAATCAAAATTACTTCGATCTATATTATTCACCTAAAGTAAAGTTTACTATACTAAAGTAATTACACTATAGTAAATTTTTAAAGTTACACTATAACAAAATGAGGTAGATTACTTTGAGGTACACTGAAAGTAATGGTTTACACTAGAGAACACAGGCAATGCCAAGGTACAATGGAGCATGGGAAGACTAGGCTAGCTTGTTATCTAGGCTAGGCTAGATAACAATGAAGTACAGGTTACCTGGCCTGCACTTGGTGACAAGGGGATTATATAAGAAGAGGCATAAGTGAAAGGGTTAATGCAGGCCGGTCTGGCCTGACTAACTGACTGGGTCAGTCAAACCACACTGGTTGAGAAATGTTTCGAAGGTATTCTTAATTGAGATTGTAAACATTTTACCCGAAGAAGCTTTTCTCACTTTTATCATACCGTCTCTCACGAAGCACTGCTGGATCACACCCGGGTTATTTTTCCGGACTTGACGCAAGCGAAAGAAGAGTCCCAGCCTTTTTGTGGTCAAGCATTCATTGATGTAAATCTCCCGACGTGATGATCCTGCTCACCGGACAAGATCAGATTTTATGAACTTGGTAGCTAGCTTAAGGCGAATTTTTGTCTGGTTTTGTCCCGAGGGATTCATTTTGCCTACTCTGTAGGCAGCAATTATGTTTGTTTTATTGAGATTATAATTCAATTCGTCTTTTATGAGAGCATGTACTATATCAGTACACTTCTCACCTTCACTTTCCACAGGAATGGATGGAGATAACACAACAAGGGAGTCAGGCAGTTTATGCTTGTCTTGTTCGTCCTGGAAAATAGGCAACAACAAGAAATAACCTTTCTCCGTGAGGATATTAGAATTTATAAGGCTAGCCAAGATCAACTCCAGCATGACATAAATGATCTCCGCGAGGAAAATATGCGTCTGAAAACTGATGAAGCCATAAAAAAACAAAAGGAAGCTCTCAACAAAATGAATGTATGTATCAGTACTTTATCCGCCCAACATAAAGTACTGATACATACATTCATTTTGTTGAGAGCTTCCTTTTGTTTTTTTATGGCTTCATCAGTATTAGACGCATATTTTCCTCGCGGAGATCATTTATGTCATGCTGGAGTTGATCTTGGCTAGCCTTATAAATTCTAATATCCTCACGGAGAAAGGTTATTTCTTGTTGTTGATGATGAAGGTTCGCGCAGTTCGCTTGATTCTCAGTTTGGAGGATCTGAGTGATAGTAATTTGAGCCTCAAGGACTAGGCACAGCTTTTTGAACCACTGATTCTCGGCCCAGTTAGGGATATCCAGCGAGGGTCCAGAAGCACGCTTGAATTGCAAGAAGTGGGATGAAAGCGTGGAATTAGGAGATGATTGAGAGGACACGGCCCCCTGGCTCAGTGGTGGAGTAGGGGGGAGAACAGCACCGCCGCCCCGGACCCCAGAGCTCCCAGAGAAAGAAACACGATGGCTGTCAGTGATGTTCGGGATGGATACCTTGTTACGAGAATTGTTGTTCTTTTTTCCCTGCGCAGCTTTGCTGTTGAAAGACATGGTTGGTTAAGAATGGTCTGGGGTATATGTTGTGGCTGAAACTTGCGTCAAGCAGCGCGGAGGCGGGCAGAGACAGGAAGCAGTCACCGGTACTCACAGCAGGAGAGGATTCATTTGAATTTTGTTTGATATGGAATGAGTTGACTGGGTTGGTTACTTGGGTTTCTACCCAAGTTACTTGGTTAGTTGCTTGCTTAGTTACTTGGTTACTTTCTTAGTTACTTGGTTGGTTAGTTGGGTTTCTACCTCCACTACCCCTGCTTCACCTCCACTACCCCTGCTTCTACCTCCACTACCTCTGCTTCTACCTCCACCACCTCTGCTTCTACCTTCACTCCACTACCCCTGCTTCTACCTCCACCTCCACACCCTGCTTCTACCTCCACTACCTCTGCTTCTACCTCCACTACCTCTGCTTCTACCTCCACCACCTCTGCTTCTACCTCCACTACCTCTGCTTCTACCTCCACTACCTCTGCTTCTACCTCCACTACCTCTGCTCCACCACCTCTCTACCTGCTTCTACCTCCACTACCCCTGCTTCTACCTCCACCACCTCTGCTTTTACCTCCACTACCCCTGCCCTGTTTCTACCTCCACTACTGCTTCTACCTCCACTTCCCCTGCTTCTACCTCCACTACCTCTGCTTCTACCTCCACCCCTGCTTCTACCTCCACTACCCCTGCTTTTACCTCCCTACCCCTGCTTCTACCTCCAGTATCCCTGTTTCTACTGCTACCCCTGCTTCTACCTCCACTACCTTCTACCTCCACTACCTCTGCTTCTACCTCTGCTTCTACCTCCACTACCTCTGCTTCTACCTCCACTACCTCTGCTACCTCTACCCCTGCTTCTACCTCCACCACCTCTGCTTCTACCTCCACTACCCCTGCTTCTACCTCCACTACCTCCACTACCTCTGCTTCTACCTCCACTACCTCTGCTTCTACCTCCACTACCCTCTGCTTCTACCTCCACCACCTCTGCTTCTACCTCCACCTCTGCTTCTACCTCCACCACCTCTGCTTCTACCTCCACCACCTCTGCTTCTACCTCCACCACCTCTGCTACCTCCACTCCACTACCTCTGCTTCTACCTCCACTACCTCTGCTTCTACCTCCACTACCCCTGCTTCTACCTCCACCACCTCTGCTTCTACCTCCACTACCTCTGCTTCTACCTCCACTACCTCTGCTTCTACCTCCACTACCTCTGCTTCTACCTCCACTACCTCTGCTTCTACCTCCACCTACCTCTGCTCTGCTTCTACCTCCACTACCTCTGCTTCTACCTCCACTACCTCTGCTTCTACCTCCACTACCTCTGCTTCTACCTCCACTACCTCTGCTTCTACCTCCACTACCCCTGCTTCTACCTCCACTACCTCTGCTTCTACCTCCACTACTACCTCTGCTTCTACCTCCACTACCTCTGCTTCTACCTCCACTACCTCTGCTTCTACCTCCACTACCTCTGCTTCTACCTACCCACTACCTCTGCTTCTACCTACCCCTGCTTCTACCTCCACCACCTCTGCTTCTACCTCCACTACCTCTGCTTCTACCTCCACCACCTCTGCTTCTACCTCCACTACCTCTGCTTCTACCTCCACCACCTCTGCTTCTACCTCCACTACCCCTGCTTCTACCTCCACCACCTCTGCTTCTACCTCCACTACCTCTGCTTCTACCTCCACTACCTCTGCTTCTACCTCCACTACCCCTGCTTCTACCTCCACTACCTCTGCTTCTACCTCCACTACCTCTGCTTCTACCTCCACTACCTCTGCTTCTACCTCCACTACCTCTGCTTCTACCTCCACTACCTCTGCTTCTACCTCCACTACCTCTGCTTCTACCTCCACTACCTCTGCTTCTACCTCCACTACCTCTGCTTCTACCTCCACTACCCCTGCTACCTCTCTACCTGCTTCTACCTCCACTACCTCTGCTTCTACCTCCACTACCCCTGCTTCTACCTCCACTACCTCTGCTTCTACCTCCACTACCTCTGCTACCCTCTACCCCTGCTTCTACCTCCACCACCTCTGCTTCTACCTCCACTACCCCTGCTTCTACCTCCACCACCTCTGCTTCTACCTCCACTACCCCTGCTTCTACCTCCACTACCTCTGCTTCTACCTCCACTACCTCTGCTTCTACCTCCACTACCCCTGCTTCTACCTCCACCACCTCTGCTTCTACCTCCACTACCCCTGCTTCTACCTCCACTACCTCTGCTTCTACCTCCACTACCCCTGCTTCTACCTCCACTACCTCTGCTTCTACCTCCACTACCTCTGCTTCTACCTCCACTACCTCTGCTTCTAGCTCCACTACCCCTGCTTCTACCTCCACCACCTCTGCTTCTACCTCCACTACCCCTGCTTCTACCTCCACTACCCCTGCTTCTACCTCCACTACCCCTGCTTCTACCTCCACTACCTCTGCTTCTACCTCCACTACCTCTGCTTCTACCTCCACTACCCCTGCTTCTACCTCCACTACCTCTGGCTCTACCTCCACTACTCTGTTAGCTATGCTTAAAATGGCGTAAAAATTAACCATTGTTCTTCACATAACTCCTCCCAACCCAACTAAACTGGATTAAAATATAAACTGGAGATAATCTGAATGTCATTCTTGTAATCCCTGTTGTTTTAACTTCGGAAATATAACATGTTAATATTTTCTGTGATATTTTTCAAGTTTGTGTTTGTGCCTTGCGTTGCCCCCTTGTGATGGTTGTATGGTGTGGTGGTGTCCCCAGATGATGCGTGTGGTGGTGGTGGTGGTGGTGATGGTGGTGGCGTGGAGGGGCGAGGCTGTCACCACCAAGACCAGGTTCCTCAAGCTGGATGCTTCCCGTGGCGATGGCAGCGTCCTCCTCTCTAAGTCGGTGAGTGTGTCTCCAAGTTGGTAAGTGTGTCTCCAAGTTGGTGAGTGTGTCTCCAAGTTGGTGAGTGTGTCTCCAAGTTGGTAAGTGTGTCTCCAAGTTGGTGAGTGTGTCTCCAAGTTGGTGAGTGTGTCTCCAAGTTGGTGAGTGTGTCTCCAAGTTGGTGAGTGTTATAAAATTGGTGGTGGTGCTATGGGGGATCTAATATTAAATGGAAGTAGGGGCAGTAGTTAGAATGAAGATGTATCTCTGGCAGTGGAGATCAGTAAGGTCTGGCCCCCAATTAAAACTATACAAAAGTAAACTTAGTGGCTTATTACTGCAATTGTCATCCTAGAGGTTGATCATAGATCTACACAGGATGAATGGATACTCCTTTAACTAACTTAATTAGTTATTAACCCCTTAACAACCCCCATATACATTCACACCAATAACAATAATAATAATTACTTTACCACACTATCTTACGTTAAAAGCCTTGGTCCACATAAGCAGGATACAAGGTTTACACTCAGAACAAGCTAGGGTAAAGTACTACTAGTGAAGAGCTAGAAGCTTGAGTCAGCTTCGGGTAGGGAGACCACGTGGTTCCACTGGGACCCCTTTTAGAATAACTAGCAATACAAACACTAGGAACACCTAATTCATACAAAGTATAATACTCTACACATTAGAACACGCCTATGCCAGACAATGAGAACGTTACACAGTATACTTAGCTGGGTATCAGCGACACAGAAATAAAGAAACGAGAGGAGGGAGAGGAGGTTCCTTTCACCACAGCCAGCCAGCAGAGAAGAAAGCTTCCAGCGACCAGCTCAGGGCTCCCGCCTAGTGTGGTGCCAGGATGAGCCTAATTGATCGTGCAGCTAAACACATTAAAAATCTTCCCCTATGCATCATATTGTTACTTCACTCGTTCTCAGGATAGTTAATCTTATAACAATGTTATACTTAATCCACAACAAGCTCAAGAGTCTGAATTCTTGTGAGCAACAAGATTCGTCCTACGTTTGGCAGGGAAGATACGAACAAAGACACATCGTGATGCGTTTCCAATACTAAAAGGCAGTTTATTAGCTCAGTTTTGACCTCTGGTTTCCACTGAGGAACCCAGGGTCGTAACAGTGAGTGTGTCTCCAAGACTGTGAGTGTGTCTCCAAGACTGTGAGTGTGTCTCTAAGATGGTGAGTGTGTCTCCAAGTTGGTGAGTGTGTCTCCAAGTTGGTGAGTGTGTCTCCAAGACTGTGAGTGTCTCCAAGACTGTGAGTGTGTCTCTAAGTCGGTGAGTGTGTCTCCAAGTCGGTGAGTGTATCTCCAAGACGGTGAGTATGTCTCCAAGACTATGAGTGTGTCTCCAAGACTGTGAGTGTCTCCAAGACTGTGACTGTCTCCAAGACGGTGAGTGTCTTCAAGTCGGTGAGTGTGTCTCCAAGACGGTGAGTGTGTCTCCAAGTCGGTGAGTGTATCCCCAAGTCGGTGAGTGTGTCTCCAAGACTGTGAGTGTCTCCAAGACTGTGAGTGTGTCTCCAAGACGGTGAGTGTGTCTCCAAGTCGGTGAGTGTGTCTCCAAGTCGGTGAGTGTATCTCTAAGACGGTGAGTGTGTCTCCAAGACTGTGAGTGTCTCCAAGACTGTGAGTGTGTCTCCAAGACGGTGAGTGTGTCTCTAAGACGGTGAGTGTGTCTCCAAGACGGTGAGTGTGTCTCCAAGACGGTGAGTGTGTCTCCAAGACGGTGAGTGTGTCTCCAAGACGGTGAGTGTGTCTCTAAGTCGGTGAGGGTGTCTCCAAGTCAGTGAGTGTATCTCCAAGTCGGTGAGTGTGTCTCCAAGACTGTGAGTGTCTCCAAGACTGTGAGTGTGTCTCCAAGACGGTGAGTGTGTCTCTAAGACGGTGAGTGTGTCTCCAAGACGGTGAGTGTGTCTCCAAGATGGTGAGTGTGTCTCCAAGACGGTGAGTGTGTCTCCAAGACTGTGAGTGTGTCTCCAAGACGGTGAGTGTGTCTCCAAGTCGGTGAGTGTGTCTCCAAGTCGTTGTCTCAGATGTTGTGTCTGGATGTTGCATTGATTTTGATACATTTATTATTTTATCGAGATGTATTCCATGGACCTCAGTGGCTAATCAGTGACCAGTTACCTGAACAAGCTACAAATCTCTGTGACTAATGTCACTGTTCGCACTGCAGTCCCAAAATTATATTTGACTGTAGTAATTGTTCACATTCAGTCCTCTGGGTTAAATGAAATGTAATTAGGCTAGAAATTTAGCCTCACAAGAGTTAGCAAGGAAATGAAATCGCCAAAATACTTCCAACATCTGCAACTCTAGTACAGGAGGACACACAAATGTGCCATTACAAACTACTGACAACAAATTAATCTAATAATTCTGAGGAGGAGTATCAGTGTTTGTTAGTTCTAAATATTGGACTTCGACCCGTGTTCTGCTCCACCCCTCCCCCCCCCCTCCGAATTATGTCGGAAAACTCACACCATTTACTAACATTTAATACAATAGGCAAATAATGTTGCTGGTGTTTTGTTCTAATAAATCATTCATATAAAATGAGAGTCCAGTGGAAATTTCCTTGGAAGAAAACAGGGATATTAGTGCCACGTCACTATTAAATTCACCATTTAATAGTATTGGGAATTCTTAAAATTGCAGTCTCTGGACTGTAAACATCATAAAAACATTCCCCTTGAACGATCTTCATTATCAGTACTAAAGCAACTTAAATATAAACTCTCTTTCCACTTCTTGAAAAAACATCTGGACAAGACGCTCCATGCATGAGTGGGAGGGAGGCAGCCATATTAGATTTAACGTAAACAAAGTCTCGCTAGAGCTCCAAGACGCTCCACAATTTTCCCTCTAGACGTAGTGTTATGGGATATAAAGAGCTCCCATCATCAGCATGTTCTTCGTCAACAATAAGGGAAGTCTTCCTTATCCAACAACCCGTTAAATCTTATTCATTCCTGGCCAGTAATGTTAGGTAGATTAGGGTAAACCAGTGAGAACGCATGGCTAGCAACCCAAACACGGTAAATATTACTTAAATCTTATCAAATAAATTACAATATTTCCCCTGATATAGCTGTCAAGTATAGGTTACGATTTTTATTGTGTGTGCCTTTTGACAAATGAAATGGAAGGGGAAGAAGAATTAATAACAATTACCTCGTATAACAAGTAACATGTGATATATATATATATATATATATATATATATATATATATATATATATATATATATATATATATATATATATATATATATATATATATATATACATATATGTCGTACCTAGTAGCCAGAACGCACTTGTCAGCCTACTATGCAAGGCCCGATTTGCCTAATAAGCCAAGTTTTCACGAATTAATGTTTTTTCGACTACCTAACCTAACCTAACCTAACTTTTTCTGCTACCTAACCTAACCTAACCTATAAAGATAGGTTAGGTTAGGTTAGGTAGGGTTGGTTAGGTTCGGTCATATATCTACGTTAATTTTAACTCCAATAAAAAAAAATTGACCTCATACATAATGAAATGGGTAGCTTTATCATTTCATAAGAAAAAAATTAGAGAAAATATATTAATTCAGGAAAACTTGGCTTATTAGGCAAATCTGGCCTTGCATAGTAGGCTGAGAAGTGCGTTCTGGCTACTAGGTACGACATATATATATATATATATATATATATATATATATATATATATATATATATATATATATATGTCGTACCTAGTAGCCAGAACTCACTTCTCAGCCTACTATTCAAGGCCCGATTTGCCTAATAAGCCAAGTTTCCCTGAATTAATATATTTACAATAATTTTTTTCTTATGAAATGATAAAGCAACCCTTTTCTCTATGTATGAGGTCAATTTTTTTTTATTGGAGTTAAAATTAACGTAGATATATGACCGAACCTAACCAACCCTACCTAACCTAACCTAACCTATATTTATAGGTAAGGTTAGGTTAGGTAGCCAAAAAAAGCTAGGTTAGGTTAGGTTAGGTAGGTTAGGTAGACGAAAAAACATTAATTCATGAAAACTTGGCTTATTAGGCAAATCGGGCCTTGAATAGTAGGCTGAGAAGTGCGTTCTGGCTATTAGGTACGACATATATATATATATATATATATATATATATATATATATATATATATATATATATATATATATATATATATATATATATATATATATATTACCCCCCCCCTGGTAGTGTAAATTGAGACGTAGACCGTGGGCGACACATGAAGCAGGTAAATGTGTGGTCTACGACTCCGGGGAGGATCTGGGGGGGGGCCCAGGAGCGCGTGGCAGCACGTGTCAGGTGTCGCGTGGTGGTTGTGTGTAGCGAGGGGTGGCAGGGTGTGTGTCGCTGTGGGTAAAAGTGTAAGTAAAGGAAGAGGAGAT